TGCTTCTGTTCACGTACTGTGGTATCTCTGGTGACACTGTGTATACAGGGGTGGGGGTAGGACTAGAAGAAGTTCTGACATTGTGTCCTGAAAGTCTCTCTTCAGGTTCATTTATTTTAGACTCAAACCATTCTTGTTTAAATCATTCTTTACCTAAAACCTATTATAGGTATGTGGCTCATGGGCTACTTCCACTATCTGAGCAATTAAAGAGTATTGTGGTTATTATTTTAAAAGGAAAATTTAGACACTATGACAAAAACTAACTGAATCCAAAGCCTCATCAGCCCCCTTTGATTTTTATCTGAAACTTTCTCAGCTTTGTTTTCCCAAGGAAAATTCCAAACTCCCTACATGAAGCTTTCTCCAACAATTACACCAGCCTCTCACTGAGTTTCTTTTGTGTAAAAGTCAGCCTCTCTGACCTGTTCTGTTCCTCCAGTGCCTGAGTGAAACCCTGCAGAAAAGGCTTTTATTTGCTCTTGCCAAGGGGAGAGAGAGCAGGGTACTTAGCTGGATGAGATAAGCCTTTGCTGGATGACTCCACTGCGGAGCCCATGGGTGATATCAGAGGTCAAGTCTTTTAAAATAGGTCACCTCTTGCCCTGCAGAACTGCTCCAAGTGCATTAACATGATCCAGGGGGAGAAGAAAGGCAGATGAATTTTGATCTTACTCTAAAATGACCGTAAGGCTTCCCCCAGCATGGCCATGCCATTTGCACAGCAGTGGAGCTTCACAGGAAGAGCGATCAGCAGTGTCAAGAGGTTGTCATCCTGGCTATAACCAGCCTCCTTCCACTCCATTCATTTCCGACCTCATATAATGACATCTTTAGGGTAGCTCGGCTTATTAAGTTGGCTTGGCTGGGTGGCTGTGTTAGTAGTCATTCAAAAGAGTTATGCTAACAAGAGCGTAGGGGGGCCAAATCCCTTGGTGTTTCTTCCTCCGTATTTTAGCAATGTAGCCAGGCCAAATCTTGCAGGTTTCCCTGAGAGTGGGTGAGATTTTGCTCTGGGTAGTGACTAAAGCTTACAGCTCTAATGCTGAAATGGGCTCTGTGCAAGTAGATGGACTTTCAGAAGTGTCTCTCCTTAGAGAAATCAAGCCTCATTTGAGAAAATCTGTATACATAGCTGGACTGATGGAAATATCCTTTAGACCGAACCTTTCATTGATGAGCATGGACCATTTCTCTTGCTGAGGACACTGACTAAAGCCTGAAACCCTCTTTATTTCACCAGTCTGCATGAGGCGAGGATCACACTAGCCTCAGACATTACTCACCCAGCACAAGGGAAAGTCCTCTACTGCTTTTTCCTCAGCACACGTGCAAAAAACCCCTAAACAAAGCTCCAATCTTATTTTTATGTACCTCGACTTTCCAGTAACTTGAGTATGTACAAATCTGTTCTTAGCTCTTCATGTGATTTCTATTTTACCACTTAAAACCAAACCCACAAAAACTGTCAAGAAATGACTTGAGTAATTAGATTCCTCTTATCTAATTAAAGCAGCCAAGAATAAGTTAAACTGGAAAAATGCTGTATGTTAAGATTTGGAATATAATACAGCTGTATTGTGTTCTGTGAGCAATGTTATGGTCCGTGAGGGAGCGTCATTAAAAAGTCTTCTTCCCTCCCAGCCCCAGAAAGAGAGCAAACCTGTAGGGAGAAGTTATCTACTGAGAGCGTGGGGTTTGTTTCATATAAGAGAGAAACTGATGATCACTTGAATTCACATTCTCCCTGATACAACTGCCTAGTTATAACCATGATAAGGAAATTTCTCATTCTGTACAACTATGATTTTTCTGTGAGCAGAATCCTGACTGCAGAGTAATCAATGTGAACTAAAGGACTGAGAAGCTAGGGATTTCATTCTCTCCTGTGAATCAAGTGATATCACAGTCTGATATTTGTGATTTGGCTTCCAATTATTTCCTGACCCCTCTGAAGAGGAATTTATGCTCGAAGAGTTCAGTAAAGAAATTCAGTTTATAATTGTCAATGGATTTGAGAGGTGTTTAAGAGTGGGAAATGCATGGCTTGTTTGACTTCCATAGGTGGATATGTCTGATTTGCAGTAGCTAACTGCTGATGTTCTTTCCTACCTTGTACCTTCCATTCTCATCGTAAATTCCCTGGTCAGCATTTTCTACGTGGAGTATCTTGATGCGAGAACTGACCTGTTGTAGCAAGAGCATCGATTCCTACACGCACTGACTCTCACAAGGACAATTCTTCAGTAAGACTGTAAGAACATGCTTCCATTAATTTATTCAGACTACTTTCAAAGCATTATAAGCTACACTGGAAAAACACTATTTGTCCAAGGAAGAATGTTCACACAATTATTAGCATAACCTTTCTATTAGACCAAGATGGCTCTCAGTATTTCTCCAGGCAGAGAGCTCTTGGCTGAGCTCCAGCCCACGCTGCACTCTAGCTCTGCTCTATGCCACCAGTAAATTCCCTCTTTTACTTCTGCTACAACCCCACTGGCCCTGTCTCTCATTACTGCTTCAGCTACACACAGGCACTTCTATCTTCCTTCCGTGTCCCCCTTGCCTTTCATCTTTTCCACCTCCTCTACAGAAAGGTTTGTTGGTGGGTTTTTTTTTTTAATATTTTCTACTCTCTGCCTCAGTCTATGGCACTCAGGGATCTCGGCTTCCTTTGTTCCCATTCCTTGTCACCTCTCCTTAAAAATCTATACTCTCCATGGAGTCTTATCCATCAAAATGCCTGTCAAAAATAAGCATGCAATGGTCTCTATGTCCTCAAAAAAAAAAAAAAAGTGAGTGAAAATGTACCATTGACCAAACTGCATCTCCAACCAACTCTACCTTTCCTTTCATCTCACAACTCACTTGGAACATGTGCTCATGTCTGCTGCCTCAGGTTTGTCTCTTTTGCCCTTCTTGGCTGATTTCTGATCCCTGTTTACTGGATTTGAAAAACTGTTTGTGTGATTTTGTAAGTCATTCTTAAATGTCCATGTTGTCTGATGTTATTCATTGGCACTATTTGCCCTGTGGATATGAAAGATTTCTCTAACTCCATAAAGGACCAGTTCTTGTTCCCAAAGTTGCGTCATGCATAAGGGCTGCTGGGTGAAAGGAAAGGCTGGAAAATTTCCAGTTCTGGTAGGTTTAATGTCACCCCACTAAGAACATTAGATGTGCGAGTCCAAAGGGTTAAAGTCATGCACATCCTCAGGAACAAGACCTGACACCCGACAAAGCTGCTGATTACAGTTTTTGTTCCTTATGCAAGTCTCAGTTGGGGTTTACAATATATATTTTTAATCTGGGCAGGAAGGAATGGGACATAACTTACTTTTCATTGTTCTCTGCTGAAAGTTCCTGATTTATTCAAATTTCAGCCTCCAAACTAAACCCAGGATCCTGAGCTAAAAAAAGTCCAATGTTGAATCACTGAAGTCTGTGTCTGGTATACAACTAATAAGAAAGTTTGCAAGCACGTAAATAATCACCCTTTTAGGCAGCCTAACTTCATACCCCAAAGTGCTTTACAAAGGCAAGTAGACACTGCTATACTTAAATAAGCCATGCTATAGTTATTTACAGGTAGGGAAGTCAAGGAAGAGATTAGTCACCTTACCAAAGTTCATACAAATGTCAATGGCAGGAACTGGCCTCCTGATTGTCCTGTCTAATTCTGTATCTGTGGGACCATGCCTTAGTAATCAGCACTGTTTTCAACTACCTTTTTTAACCTCGAGTATAAGTGATTTTCATGTCTTTCATATAAAGGTAATGGGAAATATGCACATTGAAAAATATCCAGTAAGTCAACTGATGTTTGCAAGATGCACAGATGCAATGGTAAAGAATACAACAGAAAATGCAAACCACCTGCCTAGACTGGCTCATCCCCTCATGCACAGCACCCCACAAGCAGCCACTATCTAGAGAATAAGTGAGATAAAGTGGTCTTGCCGAGACCTAATTATTCCCTCAGACATACATTTACAGATCTGCCACACCTCAGTGGAAATCACACAGTGATAGCTGCAAGTGGAAAATTTTCAAAGGGGTGTTGGTACAAGTGAGAGATTGATGTCTCTGTTTTTAATGGCATTTTATTTTAGAGCTCTAAACTACTGTGCATCAAAGAACCTACATGATCTATGTCAAATATTTGGGAAATCAGAAGACGGGCACTTTCTGGCCATTAACCACATCAAGACAACAGTAGAAAAATAATTTAATGTCATAGAAAAACTGGTGAAGTCCAATGGTTAGAAAGATCCTTGGCCCTCCTCTGCTTCATACAATTTTACTTTGTTGTCCAGACAGGTTCTCACTTATTTTCATTAGAAATCTCTAGTATTGACCAATTCTGCCATGCCTATAGTCCAAAGCAAATTAAGGCAACAAAAATAAGCAGTTCCAGGAAAAGTTTCTGTCCAGGAATGTCGTGGAACTTTTAAGATTAGAGATTAATCTTTGTTCAGCTTTGGTTTGCTAATTTTACATATAACTGTTAGGTGCTCTTCAGTACCAGTATTGGTATATTAATAACTTAACTGAGGTGAGGTTCTTACTGAGTCCAGTAGAGGCCTTTGTGAGTCCACTGCACGCTGTTGACAGCCAAGCCTTTCCTGACCGTAGGAGAAAGTGCAGCCCCCAGGCAGAGCAGCCACGTATCCCAACAGCCACATATCCCGACGGCCACCGGTGAGCACAGAGCCCTGCTGTGAGCCTGGCCAAAGGCCCTGCTGCTAAAGGCACTCCAGCACTTGCTGCTAATTCACAGACAAAAAAAATGGGTGTTAAGTGGTTTAAGATGTACTGCTTATGTCTAAATGCTCATCAGGGCCTCTGGTTTTCTGAGACACACGCAAAAGAAAGAAAAGCTGTAAATCAGAAGGGTAATGTCTTATTTTCAGTAGTGCTGTAGGGTTCAGGGCAGACTTGCAAGGTTTAGCACTTTTGTACTAACTTTTCTCTTTCTGTATCTTTTTCTCCTCCAGAAAAAGATGAGAAGAGAACAAACATCTCACAGGCAGAGGTAAGTGAAATCTTTTTTTTTAAACATATTTATTGTTAAAATAGGTCTATTGTTAAACCCCCTTTGAAACTCACTGATCCATGTTGGTTAATGGTTTTATTTACGTTGTCATGCCATCTTCAGTAACACAGCCTTTTAAGAACCATCGCTTTCAAACCAGGGCTGTGTAAAGTTGTGCTGCACCTCGGCTCTGTTGGCTCTTCCTTCTCCCAGTAGCAGGGAACTGGGAGAGGCAAGTTTCCCCTCTGCCTTGCTGCCACGCCTTGACAAATCTGGCCCAAGGTGACCCTGCCAGGTCACTGCATCCAACATTGTTTTGGGTCCGCAGATCACTGCTGGTCTACAAAAGCATTGCAAACTCCTCTCTCCTCCTCCCGTCATTTGCCAAGCCCCCAGCAGGCAGCGCATCAATGTTGTTTGCACAAGAGTTAAAAGTCAGCTCCTCCGATCTCATTTTCTAACCTCCCCTTCATAGCTCCTGCAATCCCCTGATCTCTTTCCCCTTCTTCCGTTGCTCAGAGAAGCAGGCAGCACTTTAAATAGCAGTAGGAGGTATTGATTGGTTCAAATTTGGACTCAAATACAGACTTACAAAGATTTACTGGGGCGAGGAGCCACAATCTATCCCACAGTGTTTATAAATAGTTTTCTCTTTCAAAAGAAGACTATATTTTATTTATAAACTTTATCATTCCATCCATCATGATAAGGTAAGGTAATAGGATTGGCCATACTTGTGTGAAAGTAGTTTTCTTAAGAGCTGTCTCAAATGTTCCTTGAAGAAATAGATCTGATTAAAATTCACAGGCTATATACCAGTCAAAGTACTCAGGGAAAGAGGCATTTTTAGCAAATATTTGGGAAAAGGCAACATCCTTATGACCAAATACAACTAGAAATTGATTAGATGAGAAAAAATAAAGCTTGCCTACGCACAGCTTTTTTTAAACCTTTTTCTTAGGAATGTGATCTGGTGTTTACGTCTTCAGAAGCTAGCTATGTGTGTGACCTTACATAGTTATATTATCCTTTTTGTATGGACATATTTCATGTTGGTATAATATGGACACCAACTTAACAGTTTTCATTTTGCAAAAGTTGCTCTGCTTTAGCACTGGAATGTATTCCAGTTACTTTTTGCTCACTATACCTTGGTATAATTATATTACTATTACTCTATGTGTAATTTTACTACCATTATTTTGGAATAATTTATCTTTTGTGCACAGATGTGATTTGGGGGCTATAAAAAGTTTAAGTGTGTCTAAATATACACTTAAATCAGGCCCAGTTAAAGGCTGAGTGATTGGTTGCTGAAATTATTATTTTAGGAGTAATAGCACACATTGAAAAAGTGCAGGGAAAGGGATCTTCCATTTATTTAGGTAAAAGTTTATATATTAATAATTTCAGTGCTGCCTTACCTATGCGTATACTCATTCATTACTCTGTATTTAATTGAAATATTGGGTAATGTAAACCTTGCGGCTATTTTAATACGTGTAAATGTTTATTTGCCTTAGGAGAATCAGTTACATAGACTGTGAAAAGCACAGGCTATCTTCATTTTATGCTTAACTATTTTTTTAGAGTGAAGGGTAATTTTCAGTAGTATTGAGTTCTGTTTTGCCTGGGAGCCATAAAGGTTGTCCATTAAACACATATTTTTTCTGCCTAATCTTCGTTTTCCCTGTGTTCGTGAAAGCCCGGGAGCTGGCATCAGCTTTATACAATAGAGTTTTCTTAGAAACTTCTCACATTGGTGTGTGCACCCTCTGAAAGCAGCTTTGAGGCCAGGCCCAGAGCTGTCATGAAGAGAAAACTCTCCCCGTGCCCGTCTCTTACCGCCTCTCTCTGTGTTTTGTCCCTCCCCAGTCCCAGAGCGCCTCTCCCAAGCAAAGGAAGCAGAGCGTCTTCACCCCGCCTGCCCTCAAAGGTACTGTGCAGGTCCTGCCTCTGCCCAGGCAGGGCACGCTCCCCTCCCGCCGGGGCGCCGGGGCTTCTCGTGCGGAGGAAACACTGGGGCGTGCGCAATGGCTCTCAGCCCGTGAGCGGCACAGCTCTGCAAGGGCCATGCTCAGCCACCGCTCTTTTCACACTTTGAAGTGACTGTATGCTGTCGACCATCCGCCTGATACTGGCCATCTATTTATCCTCACCGCAGAACCTTGCAGCTGTGGCAAACTATTTCTTTTTTTTTTTTTTTTTAAAGGCTTCTTTTTTTTTTGCAAAGCCTCGATACTTTCATTAATTTGAGATAACGGGTAATTCCATCCCAAACATTGAAGAGAACTCCTAGAATACACACATTTTAGCAGTGCCGTCTCCGTACCACTCTGTGCTTCTGATTTAAATCACTCCCATATGCTCTGCCTCCCTTTCCAGGCAGCTGTGAAAAGGAGAATAAACAGAGTCACGGGCTGGGTACCTGATCTTAGGAATTGTGAAGCCTTTCTTGTGAAGAATGAGAAATCTTGGTGTATGTTCAAAGGGCATAGATGCTTTTCAGGAACAAATGTAAAAGCAGAAGGAGTATTAGCTAGGTTCAGAACAGCTATATTTAGGCCTTGTTTCTCAAATGACTCTGAACAGAGTTTGACTTGACCGTGCTCGCAGCGAAGCAAGAGCCGTAGTGATCCACCAGCACGTTGGCCTAACGCTCGTCAGTGCAGGATCATTTTCAGACCACAGACCAAAGGCTATCCCGCCAGGCGTCTCTTGATAGATAATGAATAGCCTCAATTTCCATTCCTTCTGCAATTTATTGCCTGGCCGAAAAGGTAAGGTATCTGGTTTGTTACATGAAATACCGCTGCTGTCGTTAGGTAATTTACCACATCAGCCAGTTCTACATAACTCATTCTGCAGCTTCAGTTCTCTAGAACTTGTCTTAGCAACAGTTAAAATATCACTCAGGTGCCACACAAGACTCGTTGTCTGCTTGCCAAAATGGGCTAAAGTTTGTGTACTCGGTATTAGAAAGAAGATTATTACAGTCAATTATAATCATTCATGGAAGGAAGAAACTTTGCGCGGGTAGCAATAACACCCATTGATCTCACTGCTGTATTATTTTGCTGTACAAGCCTAAACTAAATACCATGCAAATGAAATGTGAAACAGGTCCTTATAACTCCTCTTGAGGACTGCAGCCTGCTCAGCGCTACTTCCAACACCCTGCTGAGCCCTGGGGAAGTACCTGGCGTAGTTTGCTTCTACACCGACTTAATTCCCAGGGAATGGAAGGAAAGTAGGAAAGCGGTTCAAGATAGATCACAACTAACCTGAAATATCTTGTAAACAGAACAAAGCAAAGCACAAAATGCCTCTCCTCAATACCTTAACACCCTAAACTACACAGTATTCCCAGATACACAGGCGGATACCTGGAAATTGATAACCCTTCCTGTAAACAGGCTGGATTGCTCCACATTTGCCATTCTGTAACTCCCATAAATACTATCCTTTTTATCTGAAAATGACTTGATGTAGAAAATTCATCATTCTTTCCTCTCCATTGTTATGAAAACATGAATGTATTATTTTGTTTAGACTATTAGGAGGCAAACAAGCAGCAATGTGAAATGCACAGTGATATGAAAGCATTACTGAGAAATAGATTTTTTGTAAAGATTCTAGTCCTATAGCAGTTGAAGATAGCAATATTCAGCAATATTTTCAGAATAATAGGCTTCATAGTGCTTAGGGACATGGTTTTTCTAAGGGACGTGGTTTAGTGGTAGGATGGCAGGGTTAGGTTAACAGTTAGACTTGATGATCTTAAAGGTCTTTTCCAAGCTAAACAATTCTATGATTCTATGATTCTATAATTACACACTATTGCTTTGCATATGTTTATTTCCTGTGGGCTGTTTCTCCCTCAGTATATTCACAATATGGTCTTCAATATAGCGTAAAGAATGAGATTCTGCATGCTGAGACTCTCTCCTTTACATCCCCTTTGGCTGCTCCATATCCTCCAGGGCTGTTATTAATGCAAGATGGGACAGACTGTAATCCAGTACCTTGCATTTAAAGATGGAGATATGGATGTAATCCCCATAAAACAGAACTTGTAGTGGAAAAGAGGGACTAACGTTTTCATTTGTCACGTTTCTCTGGCATTTTAGTTTTTAGCTGCTGTTAATTCAAAGTTTCCAGAAATAATCCAAGCTGACAGGCAGGTTCAGATCCTGGAAGCCAAGACAACAGCCACGCGTGCACAGCTGTGGGAGAGACGCCAGCTGTGGCGCAAGCTTTGCTCTATGTCTGCAGCAGAGAGGTGGTCAGGAGAAACTGCGGGGAGGGTCACGCTTCAGCCTGACTCCAAATCTCCAGGTAGCTCTCGAGATGATTATTTCTTCTTTGAGCTGAAAATATTTTTGCTGCACTTTCTGCAAGTTCCTTGAAACGATTACAAAACTGTGTGAGGGAAGGCTTGCTGGTTTCATGAATTCATGGCTAAGTGAGAGAAAAAGCAAGAGTGAGTGAAGCTGCATGTTGTGATTACAAACAAAACTGGAAATTGGTAACATGGTTAAAATGAGTGGAAGCAACATCAGATACTAGTGCTGACCAGTTACAGCACCAGGACTATAGCATATGTTACACGGAATACGCAAATACATGAAAATATCTGTGATAAATGAAAATGCAGGGTTGCTGATGTTCTACATGTCATGGTAAATATAAGGAGATCAGCTTCTTAGTTAAATGTAGGTGTGTTTTTCCCCTCTGCCATAGCAGTCAGGTAAACTGAAAGAAAAGTAGTGTTACCTGTCTGACATTGCCCCCAAATATTTGGTTCCATCCTTACAAGGGCTTGCTCTAGCTTGAGGCAGGTCTGTAGCTGCTGCAGCAAGCTGCAGCAAACCCAGGTGTCTGCAGAGCCACTGTCATTCTGTGGTGCAACAGGCAGGTTCTTATTACTATATACTTGTGCGTACTTTGGCTCCTGCTTTTATTTTCCTAAACGAAAATGCACCAGGGTCCCCACAGGCGGAGCAAATAGCTGATTCATCTCAGAGCATTGTTCTTTTTACTGGAATACAGTGTGCTGGAAAAATCAATGTGAGAGCTATTGATTTAAGTGGTAATCTGGAGAGCAAATCAGACAGCAAACCAGATAACAGCTCAGTGCGGTGTTCTTGTTAGTATTATATTACCAAACCTAATGGATGTCAAAGAGGTTTTCCATTTTGCTTTCAAAAATATTTCTTTTCCTAACCCTGCTACGCTAGCGTTTGTTAATTCCACACTCTGACATAGCATGCAATGTTGGCAAAAGTCAGCAGCTGAAGATTGCACCAAATTAACCCACCATATTTTCAGTATGTCGTGATTTACGTCTTGTCACATTGTTTTCTAGGTGTAACAACACCCTCAACAGAGGATTCATCATCTCTGTTTCCCCTGTTTGTGTCACTTCTGTTACTTTTGGGGTTTAATGTCTGAACTTCAAATTATCTCATCCTTCTATAACTTCCAATGCTCTAAAATGCTAATCTTGAATTTCCATCAGATTCTTTCATTTTAGGCTCTTCCTCTTCATGTGTGGAGGTTGGCTTGAACCCCCCTATGAAAAACACTGTAAAAATAACCAGAGGAAGGTTTCTTAATGTGAGGAGTCATCAGTTTTACCTAGGGCAATCTTTTCCAGTCAATTCTCATTGTGTAAGATCTATTTCTCCTATTTATTAATCTGTTTCTCATTCTGTATGACAAAACCAAGAAAAATCCTTTGGTCTTTTTCCTCTGTACAAAGTCCACTTGTTTTAGTACAAAATTCCATCCATCCATCCATCCGTCCATCCATCCATCCACTACAAATAACATCCTTAGAGTTGCCTTCATTATTCTGGTTAGTGGGTTAGAGGAGCCCCTGGAAGCCTTGCTACGTTTTCACTCTTTTCCCCTCACACTCACCAGGGAAGTCTAAAATGGGATGATAACCCTCCCAGGTACAGAGGGAGAAAGTGGAAAGCAGCTTAGACTGCCAAGGCAAAAGCAGATTGCACTTATCTCAGGTAATGGTGGTTCCTTGGCACCACATTACCACTAGAAAATCAAGAGCACATTTAAGTCTCAGAGCTACAACTGCAACTTTCCATCCCAAGGCATACTTTGTACTGAGCCAGGTTTCCTTTTACCTAGATAGTCATGTTTTGTTTGGTAGATCAGCTCATCCTTGAAAGGAAACACAGACTGAAGTGACAGGAAACAAGGTTTACAAAGACAAAGAGAAGACAGGCGGAGCTGTTCCCAAACCTGCACCACTCCATAGAGCTCCCAAGTCTCCGCATCGTCTACCAGCTATTGCTATTAATACCAGCAGCTATTTAAATACCACCAAGGTCTCTCCCCCCGTGAAGGAAGTGCATTCCCAAGTGGTTTGAGGATTACACTGAGTCCACTGGTGTGGGTGTGCTAGAGGTCAGGGGAATAGGAAACCTTCACCCATCCTAGTTCACCCTGCAGGAGGTTATTTAGATCAGCATCAAGATCCTACTGATTTCAGTGGGAAAGTTCTTGCAGCTCTCTGCGTTCACCGGACCACCTTTGCAATTAGCTGCCATCAAATCATAATTAAAGTCTTTCCCCACAGAGGTGAAAGGTACATTTGACTGTTTTCCCTCTCAGCCTTTTGGGAAATACATCCTTTAAATTCCCCTCTTAATGTATTTTTCTTTGCATAGAAACAAAGACTTTTTCTTGAGCTAGGCCCCAGCTACAACATTTGAAATGGGATTAAATCTGAGTTGTTATAAATCTAAGGAACGTTCAAAGACATCATTTCAGTTTGACTCATTAAAACAACCAGGACTCACCGGCTGTTCCCAAAGTGTTCAGACTCAGGGATTTGATACATGCATAATTCTAGTATTTACAATGATGGTTGATACTAAATGAGCTCTTTCTAGCTTCTGCCATGAATTT